TAAACCCCCCTAAACCCTAAACCCTAAAGCCCTTAAACCCTAAAGCCCCTAAATCCTAAACCCTAAAGCCCCTAAACCCTAAAGCCCCTAAATCCTAAACCCTAAAGCCCTAAACCCTAAAGCCCCTAAATCCTAAACCCCTAAAGCCTAAACCCTATTTAGGCTCTTACAGTAGAAGACCCTCCCTCTCGCCTCATAGTGCCCCACTGCTGTAAGTACCGGCTCTTTTCCTGCCCAGCAGCAGGTTGTTCAGAATTTGTTTTTGGGTTTGGGGCTTGGGGTTTTGGGTTTAGAGTTTGGGGTTTAGGGTTTAGGGGTTTAGGGTTTAGGGGTTAGGGGGTTTGGGGTTTAGGGTTTGGGGTTTAGAGGGTTCGGGGTTTAGGGAGGGTATTGGATGTCCGGGGTTTCGGGGTCTCCGGGGCTACGGTTTAGGTGGTTCAGGGCTTTAGGGGTTTAGGGCTTAAGGCATCTTTGTGGGAGTTCAGGGGTTTAGTGGTTTTGTTTGTTTTGAGGGTTTTGCGGTTTAGGGCACTGGATTTACAGTGAGGGTTCCGACTTTAGCTTGAGAATAGGTAATGTAGCGGCCTTAATAATCAGAAAAGGGTTTTGGGTAGAATAAACTATAAGTATAATAAGGAGCCACCAAAATAGTACAGGTAATTGGTGAGGCCCCTGTATTGCTGTTTTTGGTCTTGGAAGGGAATGCAGAAATTCTCCAATAGGGACAGCAGTAACGACTAGAAAACTGGTTTTCCTGCAGACCCCGCGTTTACATTCAACAAAGGTATGGAAAGGGCCGGGGCAATTTGACTAGGATTTTGTGGTATGTTGGAGTATACGCATCTGAGACAATGATCTTACATACCCTTTGCCATGCCGAGTGGCTGGCACCGGCCCTCCATGTCTGGGCTGGTGGGTTCCGTTCTAAGGCCCCTAAACCCCTAAACTCTAACCTTAGAACCTAAACCCTAACCCCAAACCCTTAACCCTAAACCCCTAAACCCTACACCCCTAAACCCTAAACCCTAACCCTAAAACCTAGACCCTAAACCCTAAACCCTGCCTTAAGCGTTTTGGGGGGTTGAAGGGGGTGTAGGATTTGGGGAAAAGGACTGCTCTCACTTTCAGCGGTCCATCCTCCGGCATGCCATCTGTCTTCGGGACTATCGAACACAAGAATGTATACTATACACTATACAGCAGTTAAGATTCATATAAGTTAGATTCCAGATAATCTGTAAGATCCTGTATGTAATATATAATATACAGTGTACATGCACAGAATCTACTATAAGATAAGTTTGTGTGTGTGCTGCATATAGATCTAGGCACATACCTAAACCAAGATGTTATGACATAAAACTACAAACACATCTTTTTTATGTATTTACATGCAGATACATAGATAGACGGATAGATAGACAGATAGATAGATAGCTGGCTAGCTAGCTAGATAGATA